GTAACACATAAAACTCAAATTATTTCTTTTTAAACTTAAAAAAATTACTGGTACATTATTACAGTACATAATGATTACATTCATTGTGGGGACTTGGCACATGTATATAACACATTTTTATGTCGTCTTCCCCTCCATTTCTTGATCCCCTTCCCATTTATAAAAGATCTCTGTTCTTATTAATTGTTTTTAATTTTTCCTATCTATTATCTATTTTTGAGAAACCATGTACTAGTTAAGCTTGTATTTCTGGTTTAATTCACTTATCATCTCAAAGTGAATCTATTTTCCTACAAATGACTTAAATTTGTACTTTTTATGGTAGAATAGTATTCCACTGTGCACAAACGTCACACTTTCTATGCATTCATTTATTAATGGGTAATGGTATAGGCTACCTCCACAACTTAGCTGTTGTGTGAGTTGTGCTGCTATAAGCATGGGTTTGCTTTCATCACTGTAATATGATGTTTTGGCTCTTTTGGGAAGATAACTAGAAGGGGAATATCTGGGTCAAATGGAACTCAAATTCTTTTTATCTTCACACAATAAAAACGTGCTGCTTGTTTACATGAAGTGTTGTCTAGTGTGTGTTGTCATTTATGTAGCTAGGCTCTTGCCTTCTCATGGCTCTTTGCTGCTTAATCTGGCTATGGTAGTTTTCCAATGTATACATTTAACAATATATTACATTGAGCATTAAAAAAGCTAATCACATTTAAACCCTCAAACCTGGCTATAGAATGACAGTTTCATATGATGCAGCCTAATTTTACATGTGTGATTTTGAGCAAGAGACTCTCCAAAGACATTTTCTCAGATGTAAAGTGGGGTCCTAAGACTCTGCTCTAAGGGCGCTACCTTGCTCAAGTAAGTAATATGTTTTTGAAAGGCTTAGCACAAGGTCTGATTCACAGTAAGTGACTCTAAAGGGCTACTTTTTAAAACCTGCGGTCTAGTACAGAACCTGACACATACTGGCTACTCTTTCTTTTAAAAATAGAAATACAGTAGGATTCACATATCACAAAATTTGCTCTCTTCAGATATCCAATTTGGTGGGGTTTAGCATATTCACAAAGTTGGATAGCCTAAACATTGGTTCTGGAAACTTTTCATCTCCACGAAGGGAAACATCTTACTCATGAGCAGTCATTCTATAGTTTGAATGATATAATTTGTTTCAAAATGCCTGCCACAGCCATGAGGGCCAGGAGGAGACCCAAGAAACCAACTCCTTCCTGGGAACCAGCGGCAGCCATGAAGACTGGGGAGAGAACCAAGACGCCAACACCCTCCCATGAGCCAGTCAGAGCATGGGCTGAGAGACAAGAAGCAACTGGCTGGTTCAGAGGAACACAAGCTGCAATGATAGCTACTGAAGTAAAAAAATAAACAAAACCAAATACCCCAACAACTTAATGCTTATATTGTTTGATTGACTTTGAAGGCCTAAAACCAGTAGCCTGAGCATCTCTAATATGCAATATAGCAACTATGGGGGATCTCCTTCTATCTTGTTTTTGAAATTCCATATTGTTCTCATTGTTTTGTTTGGTTCTGTTTTATTGTTTTATTCTCTTTAAAATAAAAAAAATGCTTGTCACAGTACTTCTCTCAAACACTTGGTATTTGTTAATTTTAGTGGCGTCTTCTAACGGTTAAAGAAATGTTCTTTATTTATTCAACAACAGTTGCTGCATAAACACACATACACATACATGCAAACACACACACACACACACACACACACACACTCCCTAGATGTCTACATTTAATCTCAGAGAATCAGATTCTTCCACAGAAGACTAAAATAAAGACAAAAACAATTAGCATCAGTAATATTGCTAATAATCTTGGTTATGCATCTGCAACCACACAAGGAAGTTATTGTGATGCTGGAGAGGCTCTGGCCCAGTCCTGGGAGAGAATTCACAGGGGAGATTGGAAAGAGTGGCCCCAGTGTTCACAGCGGCATCTGTAGCCGCCTTCTTCCACTCTCTGTTAAGCAGCTACAGCTGCTTATGTAGCTGAAGAAGAAACCAAGCCCATGTTTAAGAGGGTGCCTCGAAAGCACCTGAACTGCATTAATCTTCTGACTTCAGAACTTTTTATAAATAGTACTCTTCTGGGTGCACACAGAAGGGTGAGTCAAAGTGAAAATAGCCTAGTTCTTCTTAGCTAAGGATGCCTGCTTTCCATACCTGTCAGAGAGGACAGGGTGTGTCACTAGGGGCCTGTGCTTGATTCGGTTTCCACACAGCTGTCGAAACAGATGCATTTTTGTCTACTTTACATTCTTCAAGAAAGGTCATCCCGGAAAACAAACAAATTTAGTACTGAGGCTGCTCTGTGCACGGTTGATGATTTCAAAAGGCTAATTGCCGCACCATACTTATTTTGGGGACGGTTCATTGCTCTTATCTCGGAAACAGCACTGTTTTCTTTTGCACCTGCTGTGGCTACAAGGGCACCAATCTGGTTTAGGTCCTTCATTAAAAGCATGAGCCTCTGTCAGCTCAAAAGGAGCAAGCAATCCTGTGCATAGCATTGAAATATTGCTATTATTTTCACCTCAGATGCCTGAGAATGAAAAGATAGAAGAAAGAAACATTTAAATGTGGATGTCAACAGCAAAATCTTTTCAAAAAAGCAATCAAACCTTACCAATCAAAGGGAGAAAAATAAATGTAATGCATGGTGGGTCCACAGTCTATGTGGGTTGTAAAGTATGGGGTCCAATGGGTTATTTAGCCTGATTTCTCATAGGAGAAGGAAACTGAGACCAAGAGAGGTAATGTAACCTGCCTGGCCCTATTATGGTCAGTGTCACTGTTGAGCTCTAGCTTTAGCTGTCTAGTGTCCTTCACACACCTTTATACAGCTCTGTATGTGTCAATTCTCTGAGAGACTGAATAATACAGAGTTTGGGCTTCTGTAACTCGGCTTGAATTAAGTCAGTTTTCCACTTCTACTGGGCTCATGAATTCTGGCGCAATCTTTTTCTGTGTTGTTGTTCTTTGTTTCTTTTTTGAATGTTAGTTACCTGCTCTGCATTCCAGGCTGGTCTTGAACTCACTATGTAGTTTAGGCTAGCCTTAAACTCATGACTATTGGCCTGCCTCAGCCTCCTGAGTGCTGAGATTACAGGTGTACACCACCACGCACCAGTTGGAGTCATCTTTTGGATTGTCCCAAGTCACGGAGAAATCTTGACTAGGTTTGCGAATCAGGTAGCAGCAAAACCCTCCTTGATAGCACGCTCCTTATGATGAAACAACTGATCACCTCCACCTGTTATTCCCCGGTGGTGGGATGCTGATGTTTTAGTGTCCTAGGACTGCTATAACAAATTGTCACAAACGGAGAGGCTTAAAATAGCAGAAATATATTCTCTCATAGTTTTGGAGCTAAAAGTCCAAAGACAGGGTATCAGAAGACTCATGCTCCCTGTAGAGGAATTCTTTTCTTAACTCTTCTGGCTTCTAGTGGCTGCCAGGAACTGATATTCCTTGGCTCATTAACACCAATCTCTGCCTCTGTCCTCACATGGCCCTCTTTGTGTCTCTGTATCCAAATCTCCATTTTCTTTCTCTCACTAGGTTGAAAGCTCACCCTAATTTATCTGGACCCCACTTGAGTGTGATTACATCTGCCTTTGCAGATTTCCAAATGTGATTACATTCACAGAGACTGGGGCTAAGATTTAAACACATCTTTTTGGTGGGCATAATTTTTTTCCTTTTTCTTTTTTTTGGAGACAGAGTCACTATGTAGTTCAGGCTGGCTTTGAACTCACCATCTAGCCCAGGTGGACCTCAAACTTGCCTTGATTCTCCTGCTTTAGACTCCTAAGTTCTGGGATTATAGGTGGGTGCCACTACACCTGACTGGTGGACATAATTCAATTCATGAATTTTGCTTTATTAACTCCCCTTGCCAAGCTGATTACACTTTCTTTCTCTGTATGCTGGGATAAAATATCTCTCTCCATGAATGGATGGGAACTTTCAATGAGATTACCTGTGTAATATGTCCAGCATACAGTATGTATGCTACAGATGATTTCACTTCCCACTGAGACTGTGTTGCTCCTAGGGCCCATTTCAGTGACTTACATATAGCAGGCATTCAACATGTTTGTCATTTGATTTTTCAGATCAGAAATATTAATGGCCATAGACTTGGCCCCAGAGGGTCAGAAGAAAACTCGAATCAGCATTCTGTAAGTGTTTTTTCACAAAGCAAGACTCTACTAGTCCATTCTGAAGAAACATGGTTGAGTCACACTGACTGGTTCAATCTCTCTCTCCAAACCACAGTGATTACCATCCTTTCTGCACGTAGGGTTCTGCATGATTTAGCAGAAACTTTTGGATAGTATGCTCACAGGAAGAAGTTTCTACTCTGTAAGTAGAGTTTACGAGTGACACGGGCACTACTGAAAAGCTCCTAATTCAGCTTTATAAAGGAGTCTTTAGTCAGAATAGTGAAGAATTAATAAATGTTGCATAAATCACCTAAAGAAATGTCAATCTGCATATATTATTTAAAATGGCCAAATTTCATTAGAAAACTATCATAGAGAAGAATTGTACATAGAAAAAATATTTGATTATAAAAAAGGATCTAGCCAGGGGTAGTAGCGCATACCTGTAACTCTAGCACTTGGGAGGCTGAGGCAGGAGGATTGCTGTGAGTTCAAGGTCAGGGTGGGTTACATAGTGAGTTCAAGCCCAGCCTGAAAAGAGAAAAGGATCTAGATTTTTTGGGGGGGGGGTTCCAGGGATCGAATTTACAACCTCTAGTTTGCCAAGCGGGCACTTACGTCACTGAGCCAAACTCCCAGCCAAAGGGTCTAGATTTTTTAGAACAAATAAATCAGTCATTGAGAATTCTTTTAGCAGATTCTAAGATGATAGGGCATCTCTAGAAATTTCGTTAAAGGTAAATTTTGAGCAAATATTAAAAAGAAGCAAGAACACTAGAGTAGACAGAGGAGAAGTGTGGAGAATTTATTTAACAATTATGAAAAAAATTGGTAAGAAATTATTTCTCAAATTATTCTTTTAAACATGGTGAAGAAAATTATTAATTCATGTTTTTCATAAAACTAATCCAGACAGAAATGATGTTGCTGATTTCTTGGCCATGCTGTATCCCTCTGGTAGCTCCACGCTCTCCTTGTTTGGTGGTGTATATCACAGTCTAACTGAGATGTTCTTCTGCACAAGTTTCTCAGTGCAGCATTGTTACGTTCGGGATATAAAGTCTATTATAATCTTGGCACAACGATTCAAGACCGTGATTATTTATTCAATTTATTTTTTCTTTCTTTTGGTGGTAGGGATTGAACCCAAGGACTTGACACTAAGCTACATCCTCAGCTTTTTTTTTTTTTTTGAAAAACTGAAACAGGCTGGGAATGGTAGCACACACCTATAATCCCAGCAGGAGGCTAAGGCAGGAGGACTGCTGTGAGTTCGAGGCCAGCCTGGGCTACAAAGTGAGTTCAAGGGCACCCTGAATTCCATAGTGAAATCCTGTCTCAAGAAGACACAAAAGGAGAAGGAGAAGGAGAAGGAGAAGGAAGATATTTCATTCTTGATGCCTAGTCTTTGAAAATTTGGCAGAAGTCACTGAGGGACCAGGATGTTCATGTAAGGTGTTACTGGACAGCAGACCTTTTTAAGAACAGAGGCACACTTTTGTTGGTCTGTGAATCCCAGATAAATTTTTGAAACTGAAAGTGATAAGCAGACTGCTTTCAAACAAGAAATGTGCTTATTAAAGATAAAAGAGTGTGAAAACACAGTTTAGAATGCAATCAGATGGTGCCGTAAACCTGATGCTGGGCTGTCAGCTTCTCTGATGGGCTGTTGTGGAGGCTCCTGTGTACCTGTCTTGCACCCCAGTGTTCTGGAGGTTTTGCTGAACTGAATTCTACTTGGATTGAATGGCGGCATTACTCAACCCTGTGGTCTCTGGCCAACTAGCTCTGTAGGTGGGGCTTTGTTGCAGCAGAGGCCACAGCAGTGCTGGAACATCTGGTAAATCACTACTTCCCATCATAGGCTGATATAGCTCGTAGCAGGCAGCTTGCTTGGTGGGTGACTCTCAACCAGCCAGCCTAGTGGGAGAGTGGTCTCCTTGGGGGGGATTTTTATATGTAATTAATTGATTATCACAGGCATACCAATATAGTATATATATTAAATATTGAGCATTCCAGAAAAGTTTATTCAAGTAGTAGAACACATCAGTGGGCTAGCTTCCACAGCAGCCTCCTTGGAGGGTATGTCCTTGGGCAAACACTGAGCCCATATTTGTACTTGATTTTTAACAAATTGCTACTAGGGCCAATTAAGGATATATAGAAGGTTATTATTGTATTTTTTATTTTTATTTTTTTGTATCAGTGAGTGAACTCACAACCTCGCACTTGCCAGGCAGGCCCAAATGCTGCTGAGCTAAATCCTCAGCCCAGTGCTCGCTTCGGCAGCACATATACTAAATCCTCAGCCCAAGGATATTATTTTATCTTAATTACTTGTAATACTGATCATAGATCTTTGAATTTGATTTCTCACTTTTTGTAAGTAGAAATGGACCTCAAAAGCCAAAGATTTTTTGTCATTAGGGACATATAAAAGATAATCTCAAAGCCATGCACGGTGGCTCATGCCTATAATCCTGGCACTTGGGAGGCTGAGGCAGGAGGATCATTGATAGTTCGAGACCAGCCTGGGCTATGAAGTAAGCTGAAGGCTAGCCTGAACTGCAGAATGAGACCCTGTCTCAAAAAGAATCCCCCCCAAAAAAGATAATCCCAGCACTTGGGAGGTTGAGGTAGGAGGATGATTTTGAATTCCAGGCCATCCTAGAATATATAGGAAGATGAGACTCTGCCTCAAACAAACAAATGCCAAAACAACAACAACCACAAAACAAGACAGAAGAGTCTTGAAAGTTAACTTTGATCAATGTCAGAATCATTGTGATAATAATATAGTCTCCAACATGACTTACAGGAGAAAACACTTTCATTCATAAGTTAAGGCAGTAACTAGAAATGAATTCCATTGTTTTATTTTATTTATTATTGTTATTTTGTCTTTTTGAGACAAGCTTTCACTGTGCAGTATAGGCTGGCCTTGAACTCACAGCAATCCTCCTGCCTCAGCCCATTGCTTTATAGTACATTACTAGCTGGGAATAGCTAATAAGAAGAGTTATGCTATTCATGTGCTAAAAATGGCACATACATATACTTGCCATTATGAAGTGAATTCTTCTATAATAGGTGACATGGCATTTCAAATGAAAACTGGATTTAAGAATAGTTGCAGTGCCAAGTTCAGAAAAGTTACCTTAGAGGAAAAATGCTCAGCAGTTTTTTTTTTGTTTGTTTGTTTTTTTTTTTTTTTTTTGGAGACAGGGTCTTGCTATGCAGTTCAGGCTGGCTTTGAGCTCACTTTGGAGCCCAGACTGGTCTTGAACTCACAACAATAATCCTGCCTTAGCCTCCTGAGTGCTGGGATTGCCACTATGCCCGGAAGCAGTTTGTATTTTGAAAGCTTCATTAAATATTTTCCTGTTGCTCATTGCATATGGCCTTACATATAATTCATGTTTATTTATAATTATTTGAGAGTAGTAAGCTTTTATTTATTTTATTTTTGTGTGTGGGTTGTTTAAAATTTAATTAAATTAATTAATTAATTTATTTTTGGTTTTTTTGAGGCAGGGTTTCACTATATGTGTCAAGCTGGTCTTGAACTCATTTTGTAGCTCAGGCTGGCCTCAAACTTGCAGGAATCCTCCTGCCTCAGCCTTCTGAGTGCTGGGATTACAGGTGTGTGCCACTACACCTGGCTGGGTTTTTTTGTGTTTTTTTTTTTTTTTGTCTTTTTGAGGTAGGGTTTCACTATGCAGTTCAGGCTGGCTTTTAGAATTACAAATAAAACTTTTTTATGTTGCACTATGAAATTAATTTCTGAGGGTAGATAAAATACAAGAGCCTGAAATGTTTTGTTTGGTGGAAGAGATTTTTGGTGGGCAGGTCACCATCCTGCCTTTTGGGGAATAACAGCGTTCTCCTCTCCCACACCCCCTTTTCAAATTGTTCATCTTGGTCTCCCAATGACCAGTCCTGCCTCAGCTACTGGCTTAGCAGTTTTGTTTTCTTGGTTTGTGATTGCTTTTGTTACACCCTATGGAACCAGACCTATATCCACAAAATGAACTTTAGTTCTTTACCTTATGTTTTGGTACCAGGAATCAAACTGGGCCTCATGCTCACCAGGCAGTCTCTGTGCCACTGAGTTACATCCCTGGCCCTGAACATATATTTCTTTTTAGATCCTTCCTTCCCTGTCTCTGGGCATCACCCTTCAGGGCTCTTAGTAGGGCAAGACAGAGAGAAAGGAAATTATGTTTTCCATCTTCTTCACAGCCTGTGAAGCAAGGGTCCCCCTCTGCTTTAAATTAGTCTCACTTCACCACTGCTTCACTGCACGACACTCTGCAGTGGTAGGTGCTTCCTGCCTCACCTCGTGGGTGCCAGTCATAGCTCTGGTGACGCTAACAGAAATACCACAAACGGCTCAAATAGTAAATATGTCTCACACATCTGCAGGCTGGAAGAGCAGGGTATCTGTAGATCTGGCAAGGATGGTGAAGCAACTTCCTGGCTTGCAGATGGACATCTTCTTGTAATGCTCTATGATGAAGAGCAGAGAGGAAGAAAGCTCTTTTTATTCTTTTTTCTGAGATACTGAGGACTAAACACAGGGTCTCTGTACTGAGCTACATACCTAGTCGTTTCTACTATTTATTTATAGAAAATCTCTCTCTTAGTCACTAAATGGTCTAGGTTGAAGTCAACCTTGTAATCCTTCTGCCTGAGCCGTACAGAGTGCTGGGATTACAGATGTGGCTACTATATCCAGCTACAGTCTCTTCCTTTTTATTTACCCCAAGTTCCAGCGTGGAACTTGATTCTTTGGGAGATGCTGACTTGTTCTCTCCCTGGCATGCCCATGGCTGATGCCATTTGGTGGGAAGGATGGCTCTTCGCTTTTTGGGTTGGTACCCCAACCCAGAAGCCAGCATGGCTGATTCTTGGGAGACGCTGACTTATTTCCTCTACAGTCTCTTTTTATAAGGACACTGATCCCATTTGTGAAGATGCCATCTTCCTAACCTAACCACCTCCCAAAAGGTCCGCTTTCTAATACCACTCCATTGGAGGGGAGGATTTCATTTTATGAGTTTTAGTGGAGACACAAATAGTCCAAGTCCCTCCCCTCTCCTCCACACACTGTACCACTCAGTCCCCAGCTCTTCACAATCATTGCATTGTTTTCCATTGTGCATGAATGGCTCTGATGGCCCCATCTTAGATGTTCCCAATTCCTATAGATATTCAAAGGCTTTTATAGCCATATGTCACGATTGATGCCACCATTCTAAGTGCTGCAGGACATCATGCATTCTTGTTAAGTTCTCCCATAAGTTTCTGGAAGTAGTTGTGTTCTCTTAGTCATCCTATGCTGTGATCCACTTTCTTGTTTTAGGATGGAAGTTAAGCCAGACTCTTCTCCCTTTTTTGCTTCCTCCTCTGTTCCCGGTAAGACTCCCGTGCTCCCAACACAGGCTCTCAAGAAATATGACTTGATTTCTCTATGCTTGGGCTCAGCAATTTCCATTGCATCTAGTGACAGAAGCTTAATTTTAGCCAATTTCAAATCAAACCCATGATTTCTCCCATCTCTTCTCTCTCCCCTTCTGAATTTTGGATAGTGTTTGGGTGGGATTCACACTTGCAAGAGAACTAAGCAAGATGGTGGGATCTAGTCTGTTTTCCCCATAGCTTAAGAATTCATCATGCTTAGTTCTTGTCCTTCCTACCTCTCCATGCTAACTGTTGAGATGCTCTTATTCTCTACACGCTCTCCAAGATCAGATCTTGTCCCAGTGGCAAGGCCTCCCCAGATGCACTGGCTGTCAGTGACACATTTGTGTCACTCTTGGGCAAACAGGAAGCCATTCTCCTGAGATCTGTGGTACCCTGATGTTCTAGGACTCAGTGAGGCCACCTTGGTCCATGCGTTAGGTTTGTGTGACGCACAGCACAGATGTCACTACCCACAGCCTGCAGAGTGCAGACCACTTTTGAAAGCAAAGCACTAGTTTGCTTTGCTCTTGGATCTCTGAGAAAGTTAAGGATATGCCACTTCTGAAGATGATTAACCTAACTGGTATGTTGATGACTTTAAACTGAAATCATTTGAGGAACTATAAATTCAGAAGGGCTACTTGGCCTGTCTTTCCCCACATGTAGCAAGCATAAAGATTATTTCACATGTCAAGATCTGCAGGTACCCTTGATCATCAAAGACTAGTAATTGGGGCTACAATGAACCAGAATAAATAAACTTTTGGAAGCTACTCTATTCTTCCATTTGCTTTTATATCTATCTACCTCATATCTCCTAACAATATCCCTGTTATTTCCTATTGACACATGCCTGTAATCCCAGCACTTTGGAGGCTGAGGCAGGAGGATTGCTGCAAGTTTGAGGCCAGCCTGGGCTTCATAGTGAGGCCCTGTCTCAAACAAGAAGAAGAAGATGAAGAAGAAGAAGAACAACAACAACAACAACAACAACAACTTTTAACTTTCGGTTTCAGGTATTTTGTCTCAGCAATGCAAAAGTAGCCAAGACAGCTACCTTATCCCAGATATCCATTTGTCCTGTTTTTCCTTCACAAGTTTATTGTGCTTTGTCTAAAATGTAGGAAAGTATCACACTTTGGTCATTTCTACTTCATCTGTGAAGATTCCCATGTACACGTAAATTGAATAAAACTAATGTTTTTCTCACAGGTCTTGTGTTAACTGGGTTTGTAGATTCAGTCAAAGAACCCCCATAAGAACTAATGGGCTGGGAGGTTCTCTCCTCTACACCCTCTCATTCTCTGAGGATTAAAGGTTTCTTCCTTTGTAGGGGCTGTTCTGGCAGAGGGAGCAGAGCTCCTTCTCGGAGACTAGGTATGTTAGGGTGTTGCAGCTTTGTCAAGATATCTGAAAATGTCAATTTCAAGGAGGAGACAATTATCCAGTTTACAGTTTTACAAGGTCCAGGTCATTACCAGTTGATTCCCTGTTCCTGCGATGAGGCTGAGCATCATGATGGAAAGGACGCAGCGGAGGAGAGTTGCAGACATCATAGCAGTAGGAGAGCTGTGAGAGAGGGAAACAACGTTAACTGCGGCTTCTTCATCCTGTTCCACCAAGGACTCCACCCCACTGGATGGTGTCACCCACTTTCAATTTGCCATTCCACATGCCAATCAATCGTTCCTGGAAATACCCTTACAGACACACCTGGAACTGTGCTTTGTGGATCTCCTGCATAGCCCTTCATTTCGTCAAGATTCCATAACTAAAAGTAGCCGGTCACACCCTGAGGCTTCCTCTTTCTCTTTCCGTCCATAGGCTGGGTGTGGCTCAGTGGTGCAGCACTTGCAAGTCTCCTGGGTTCAACTCCTGGTACTACAATAGCAACAACAAAAATGGTTAAGCTCTTCCTTTCCATAGTCTCAAGAATATCTACAATGGATAGGATGATGGCAGAAAGAACTTGTTTAGATTAAGCACAAATCACCTTAATGTCAGTTTATGCCTGGAAACCTAATAGTCTAAAAGTCCCCAGGCACATTGAACCTGACATTTTCTCTGTTATTGTCTTATTTGTGGAAGGCATGTGGCTGACAAAATGAGAGGAAGGGGGAGGGGAAGGGTCGGAAACAGGAAGCACCAGGAACGAGAACGGAGAACCGCACTGGGTAACAGTTCAGAATCATAAACTGCTAGTTGGATAACTTCTAGGAAACGTGTGTATTAGAAGGCAGTGCTCGACATAGCAAGGGAACCAATAACCTTGCTGGCCCCACCAGCCCTCAGGGCTTCCTCCCTGATTGTCTCCTCAAGTTCTGGTCCTTTCACTCATCCAAGTTTCCTCACTCATTTTTTCACTCCCAAAACTACCTTTCTGACAACCTATGGATTCTCCAAATTTTGTACATTTAGTTATTTTGTTTTTGTTTTTTGAGACAGGCTCTTCCTGTATTTCCCAGGCTGGCCTTGAACTCTCTGTAAATACTTATGCCTCAGCCTGTGTGCTAGCTACATTTCTAGCATGCTCCGTGGTTTTAGCAGCATATTCCACTTCTTCAAGACCAAGATCTGGAGTAAGGAGTGGTGATCTTTTCACATCCAGGGACACCTTCTAGGAATTTTCTATGAAAGAATCTGTGCTCCACCTTATATACCTCATACAAAGGTATATGAATCATCCTACAGCTTTTTATTTGAAAATAACGGCTGCCCTATTTTGTTTAACATTTTGAAAACTTTTCTCTTTCATCTAAATTTAAGACATTTTTTTGTCATTTTGAGATACATGTACTTTTATTTAATGGCCATCACTTAGAATCAAGGATTTGCTGATAGTTTCACAGCATGTCACACCCAAGAAAATTAAGTCAGCTAAATTTGCATGCAAAGCATCACAGGTCTCTCTGCTTCTAAAAATGCATACAGTACCTCAACAGCTCTTCTTTACCTCTAGAGGTCCTGAGAACTGAAACTCAAATCTACAGCGGGCATACTGCCCAGTTCTCTCAGACACAAACCCTGAATGAAAGCTTTTGTTGCAAGGGAAGGCCTGGGTTCTGTCTCCAGCACTGGGGAGACGGAGGTGAGAGGGAGAGGGGGCAGAGATGTCATGTTAATTTAAGCACAGTTGGTTTAACTTGTGTGCTCTGTATGATTTTTTTTTATATAAGTGTGGATGTGTGTGAGGTCATAAAACAGGGAACAAGCAGTGTCTGTGTTTATTTTCATGCCTTCCTTTATTTTATTAGATTAAAAATTTCACAAACCTATTCAGCCACACCCAGAATTACACTAACCCAATTAGGGGAGTAATTCAGATAACTACACACCGTTCATTCATATTCACACATCTTAGATCCAGTCGCCTCTGAAAGGCACCACCTGTGAGCACTTGAGACTCTGGGGACCTCCTCAGAGCATGATTAGGCTGGGCTACTGGTTGAAGGTTACCTATGGGAACATTGCATAGATGAGGCCATAAAGAGTAAGTAGTCTCTGTAGGACAGAGATTATATGGCTTACACAATTTTTTTTTTTTTGGGTACAGGGAATCAAACTCGGACTTGCGCTTGCCAGACAGGCACTGTGCCACTGAGCAATATCCCCAGCCTTACACAATGGTTTGAACTCCTAAAAACCTGACAAACTCTAAACAAAGAGCCCTTATGGATATCCTACTCAATAAGCCCTGCTGGGTAGCAGAAACCTTACTTCCTTGTCTGTGGTTTCATTCTTTGTCACCTGGGACAGGACCCCAGGGTTGTGATAACAGAACCATATCCATGCCTGCCAGGGCCCAGGCATCCTCTAGTAATGCAATATGTGAGCCTTGTCCAATCAGATGTCCTGAGCAATGGGCACCCCACCATGGCTCCAGGGCCTGGTGTGTCCAAGGAAACTGTGGTCATCTTCCCTTACTGTTCATGTAAGCACTTTCCTAACTGCTTTTGTGTGTGTAAACTCTACCAGTGGTAGCAAATCTAAGGCAGGTGTGGTGTGCTGCAGCCAGCTGTTTGTTATCACAGAAAGCTCTAAGAAGTCTTCCCACACAGGCCTAGCTATCAAGCTACAAGGTTGAAGCAGAGGTTACTGAGTGCATTCTGTTTACAAGTTAATTTCATTATTTTATCTCTCTCCCTTTTCTTTCATTTTTTTGTGGTACTGGGGGGGGGTGGAACCCAAGGTCTTTGCACTGAGCTACACCCTGGTCTATTTTATTTTATTTTATTTTATTTTTGAGACTTGGTCTCACTAAATTTAAAAGTTGCCCAGGATGGCCTTGAACTTGTGATCCTCCAGTATCAGTCAGCATACACTGGAGGATCACTATATATATATTTTTTTTTCTTTTTTTTTTTTCGTCTTCTTGAGACACGGTTTCAATATACAGTTCAGAGTAGACTTGAACTCACTTTGTAGTCCAGGCTGCCCTCGAACTCGCAGCGATCCTCAGGGCTCAGCCTCTCCAGCGCTGGGATTACAGGCATGCACCACCATGCCTAGCCTCCTAAAAATTCAAGGATTATAGGTGTGTACAGAGCAAAATATTAAGGGTGGGAAAGCAAGAGGGTCCTTTCTGAGAAAATGGCCCACCAGGTTGATCTTTTTCAGCTTGGCTCTTTATCCTGATAGACAAGCATTTACTGAACAAGCGCAAAGCCTTTTCATTAGGAATCTCATTTCCTCTCAGGTCAGGGATAATTAATTGCATCCATTCGGGACAGGACGCGGTCCCTTTAAAGCCTTGGAAAGGGTCTGGCCTGGAGACCACGCCCCATCACGTGTTCATGGTTCCAGCGGGGCGGGGCCGGCGTCTCTAAACTGCCGTCACTTCCGGTTCTCTGTCAGTAGCGAGCGAGCAGGAGGCTGTGGACCGCAGCAGAGGAGCGTGAGTGCGCGGCCCCCGCCCCCACCCCGGGGAACCCTACTCCTCCGACCCTCACCCTCCCGGCGGGGTGGGTAGCCGCTCGCAGACCTGCGGGCCCCATGTGCCGCGGGCGACGGCGGCTCCTGCTGGCCTCCCCTTTCCCTCCGCAGCGTCTGTGCTCCCCCTGGGTTCCCGACCTCGCACCCGGCGCGCCGTGGGCTCCGCAGTAGACACCGTTTCTCGAAGCCGTCGTGACGGCGGGGCGCGGCCGGGCAGGGGTGCCCCCGGGACAATGCGGCGGCTGCGTCGGGCCAGGCGGGGGCGCGCGCGGGCTCAGCTCGGCCCCCACCTGGGCCCCTAGGGTGGGCGTTGCTGGGCGTGGGGGAGCGGAGCCGGGGGAGGGGGCGGCGAGGGAAGATGGCTGGGTGGCGGGCTTGGGAAGGCTTGGAGAGGAGAAAATGGCGCTCGGTGCTAGTCCCTCCTCTTCCCACGCGCTTCCCTCCGCACTCCGTCGCTCCCACGCCCCCTGCGACCCACCTGGGTCTGCTCGCCGAGCCGGCGCCAGCCCAGGGCTTCGGCGGTCTCGGGCCCCTCACCCTGAGGGCTGCACTGCATCGCGCGTCCTACCTTCCCGGTTTTCCCCAGCGATCTCGCTAATCTTTCCCGACGTAGTCATTAAGGCTGAAAATCCGTTTTCTTCTTCAGTTGCATTTTGAATGTATTCTTCAATGTAGCGCTTTCAGTTATCGTTATAAGTAAATCGCCTTCCTCCGCCTTTGAGACAGTAAATCCTCCTTCAGTAGGAAATACATTCTGTCAAAAGTGCAAAGATGTTGGCTTTAGTTACCAATATTCAGGTTTTTGTCTTTGTTTTCCTCGAAAAGACTTTATTTACTAGTTCTTTAGAATGATTTTAGATCTCCAAGCAGCTTTTATTAATGGAGGGTGGTTAATGCCTGGCTGTTTCCAAGTGAAAAACAGGTTATGTTTCGTTACCTTTTTAAGAAAGGTTTTTGGGTAGTTGCATTAGAAATTTGAATTAAGTCAGTATTAGAGGTTATCTTGTAAAATGGAGCTGTAACTGGAAAAATACATGAAATGTAATTAGGATCATTACTGGCTCCCATGAATTTACTCTAAAAGAAAAAACAGCATGGTTATGTTGGCCATGGTTTGAGCTTTTTTAAATTTAATGGCCACAATTGGGATGACCCACTTCTTGTATATTGACCTCATTCAGTGACTTTTCTCTCTCTCTTTTTTTTTGGTACCGCGGATCGAACTCTTCAAAGTATTTTCCTTTTATTCAACATTTATGGTGTGGTGGTTAAGCTCTTTCAGGCATGCAAAAAGTTAGCAGGATTTAGACTTGAGTTAGAGAGCAAAGGTATTTTAATTACAATTTTAGCATCTAGCATTAGAAGTAGCTTGTAAAGAGATACCCACATGCTTTGGAATTAAAATTTGGGAGTTTAGATTTTGAGATAGTCTGTGCTCAGTTCTGTGCCTGGGCCATAAGTAAACATTGACTTGTGAGTAAAGTACTAGGTCACAGACATGAGAGCTTTTGGTTTTTCTATAAAGAAATCAAATTTTAATTACACCCCAGAGTAGAAAATCAGTGTAAAATATTGCAAATTATGTGTAATTTTGTGAACTGAATTAGGACCTATTTTAATAGTGTGGCTAAAGACAGTATATATATATATACACGTACATACAGATAAAAGATAAGATGGTAATGGCAAAATTAGATACCACAGTTGCCTAGTAAAACTGTCCTTTTATGTGAATGTTGGAGTCTGTTTTCATGAATAATTTTATGTTAGGTCTAATTTCATTAGAGGTGTGAAGCAGTACTCAGGTACAATAATGTTTTCTCTAGGTTTTATTTTGTATCCGGGATTGAACTCAGGACCTCAGGCTTGCCAGGCAGTGGCTTATGCCCCAGCATGTTCTGGGGTTTTTTTGGTTTTTTTTTTTTTTTAGTCTTTTTGAGACAGGGCCTGTCTATGCAGTTTAGGCTGCTCTTTAACTCACTATGTAGGTAGGCTAGGCTGGCATCGAACCTCCCAAAGTGTTGGTATTACAGGCATGTGCCACCACGCTTGATGTCATCTGGTTTTGATAGTAGTTAATGTCAAGTTGCCTTAACTGTAGATTTCTCTTCGCCCTAAATGAAGTGTTAACAGACTCATTTGGATGAGCTGGACGCGGTGGCACATGCCTGTAATACCAGCACTTAGTAGGCTGAGGCAGGAGGATCACTGAGTTTGAGACCAGCCTGAAAACATGAGACCCTGTTTAAAAAAAAAAAAAAAAATGGAAATGAGGAATGTGTGTATGGCATTTAGTTCCTTTAAATGGATTTAAAAAATTTCATGTAGCATGTTACTTGTATTCAGTGTAACAACTCTTAAATACTATAAAATGTACTATAAAATGTCAATTTTTTGATTGGCAAATGTTAAGTTAAAGGTGGTAGAACAACTTCCAAATTATGTATATAATGTATTTTTCTTTCAGAATGCCTAAATCAAAGGAACTTGTTTCTTCAAGCTCTTCGGGCAGTGATTCTGACAGTGAAGTTGACAAAAAGGTGATTTACTGTGCATTATCATTTTTTTATGTTTAATTCAGCAGTATGGCCCATATTCAGTTGAGAAGGGTATAGAAGGTATATTAGAATATTAAAATGAGAATGGATACATCCACACTGCTAGGCCCTAAGTCAAACGTAAGCCTTCTGTTGAGGACCTTTAGGAACTTGAAAGTTGCAGAGCTACTTCCTTGGGCTCTAGGGGAATAGAATTGTAATTAGACCAGAGACACTATTTGTTGTTGTTTGGAGCTCTGCACCCTCTGTAGATACCTGCATGATCTGTAGATAGTTTGTAGTTGTTGGGCTGAGTTACCTGAACTTTTGAAGACAAATGTTAATTTTGGCAGCCGCCTTACTGATGTTTATTTTGTCCACAAGTACTACTGAATTTTAGACTTGATGCCTTTTAAGTTAGAATATTACTTGGTTTGACTTCTTCCTTTTAATCAACATCTAGCAAAATTACGATGAAATGAGCCATTTTGACACAGCATTAACTTTTCAGCATTAACAGCTCAGAACTCTGCGTTCCACTTCTCTGACCATCTCCATGGATCATAACTGAGCATTTTAGCCCCTCAGTCTTGCTCCCTCATAGATGTTTATATACGTGAATAAACATTTATATCCTAGAAATGGGATAAATTGATTTTATTCTTCTTAGTGTGAGTCCTTTATAAAATTAGTAACTAGCTTTAGCAGAAAACTGTGGTTTCAAAAGCAGCAGGCCACTCAGCTATTTTTCTTCCCAAAGCAGTGCTAGCTAAGAGAATAGGGACTCCTTATGGGAGAGGCTTGTTGAAGTTGGGACACTTAACCTGTAACTACAGGATAACATCATCACCTGGGAAGTTTGAACTAAGATATCAAAGAGCATACATAGCTGTAGTTGAAGAAATCTCTTTAATCTTTACTTATATCAGTGTAGCGTTTGAATATTTTTAGATAACATATTGAACCTTTATGTACTAGTTCAGGAAAATACTTAGATGATGATGATGATTATTATTATTATTTGGAGATAGAATCTCACTATGTAGTTCAGGGTAGCCTAGAATTTATGACAATTCTCTTGCCTCAGTTTCTGAAGTGCTGGGATTACAGGTGTGGGCCATCATGCCTGGTTGAGAATAATTAAATGATTTAAAGAATAGTTGTATCTCTTTAAAGAGCCAATTTTTTGCTCCTTGCCTTTGTATGATTGTGCAAGCACTTACATTAAATACATCCATGTTTTTTCACTTTTACATATATGTATATACTATTTTACCTGATTTTATCTAATTTACTATATTAAAATAATTTGGTAGCATTAAGGTACTAGTTGCTACTTTTCCAGGAGGAATATGACTGCCCTCTACTGTTTGTGTTGGGAATATTACTTTTTTGTGCTGTTAACTCATTTTTAAAACTAGGCTATATAAAAAAATGTTTACAGTAATGGTGTTTTTAAAACCTTGTTCTCATTTTGAATGCTCGTCTAATTAATGCATTGCTGTCTTTAGTGATTTTTTTTTTTGTGATGAAGTTCTTGAATTTATGACTTCTGTTCAATGCCTGCTAGAAAAGACCTCTCTTTCACTTTGCCTAGCTATACAGTTTAAATGCCATTTGGAATAGGCAAGACAGAAAAACTTCTCTCTTTCCCTTTATATATATTTGGGGTGGGGGACAGTACCAGGAATAGGGCTTGAACTATCAGAATAAGATGATTATATTGGTCCCTCTCCAATTTTTTTTTGTTAGTTAGAAAAATAAGTACTTGACTAGCTTCATTTAGTAGGCTTATGGTTCCCAAAGTATATTCAAAAGTATTAGGTTTTTTTTTTTTTTTTTTTTTCCTTCTAAAGAAATCTTATATAGCATCCCCAGGCACAGAATGACTCTCCCTCTGGCTAATCCTGCTGTATTTTGGGATGCCTAAAGTATCTTTCAGGATCCTGAGAAAACAGTTTGAAAGAATGATTAGAGTCATAGTTCTGTTGTTAAATAGAAATTTTGCTATAGCGCATGATTACATTTTTAAAAATTACAGTGAAATACATATTACCATCGATCCTTCTTAAATACTTTTATTCCATTGTTCTAGGTGACATGTCTTTTAAGGTGTTTCTTTTTTTCAAATTTGGACATTCATCATATTGCAATGGCAAACAGAAAGGACACCCAGGAGGAGAAACATGTATTTAAAGTCAGATGGGCACTGATTAGGAATCAATTGCTCCTCAGTGTGTCAGGCTCTTAAGGCTCAGGGAGGGAGATTTTTATTGAGTCTGCAAGGGGAAGTATAAAGGCAGAGTACTTAGACTGGCTTTGATTGGGTCTTACAGTGTGCATCATAGGGACCATCAGGGACCTCGATTCTAAGAGACAGGAGCAACCAGAACTGCAGCAGCAATTTATTAACTGGGCAACTAAGAAACTAAAGTGTAGGGGCCATTTTCTGTTACAAGATCTTTTGAACACTTACAGTTGATTTTTTTTTTTTTATTTTAGTTTTTTGAGGAAGGGTCTCACTATGTAGTTCAGGCTGGCCTTAAATTTACTATGTAGCCCAGGCTAGCCTTAAAGTGATCCTTCTGCCCCAACCTCCACAATGTTAGGATTACAGGTGTGCACAACCAACCATACTTGGCTTGATTCCCCCCCCCCTTCCCCTTAATGTGTTTTGGCTCTGTAATCCTTTAAAAATAGTGGAATATTTTCAGTTTGAGATTTATTTATGTACGTTTTAACCATATTCTTGCATTCTTTTGAAGTTAAAGAGGAAAAAGCAAGTTGCTCCAGAAAAACCTGTAAAGAAGCAAAAGACTGGTGAAACTTCGAGGGCTCTGTCGTCATCTAAGCAGAGCAGCAGCAGCAGGGATGATAACATGTTCCAGGTGAGGAGCTTATTTTCTCAGAGTCAGGAGTCTGATGAATGTTAAAAGTACCTCGGTCTGATGTTGCATAGCAGTTTTTTATGTGTGTTATAATCCTCTTCACGAAGGACAGTAATATAGGAATAAGAAGGAATTTATACAATGTCTAGAGCATATGTAGTTTTACATTTGAACAATACAAAAAAATGCAAAACTAAAGTCAGAGGGTTTTTTTTTTTTTTTTTTTTTTTTTTTTTGGTATCAGGGATCAAACTTAGGACCTCACACTTACCAGGCAGATGCTTGTGTTCCTGAGCTATATCCCTGGGCCAAAGTTAGAGAAATTAAACTGATGGGAAACTGCACATTAGGAAGCATTTTGAAGCTGGGCGTGGTGGCACACTCCTGTAATTCCAGCACTTGGGAGGCTGAGGCAGGAGAATTGTTTACAAATTCAAGACCAGCCTGGGCTCCAAAGTGAGCCCAAGGCCAGCCTGAACTGCATAGTGAGACCCTATCTCAAAAAGAAAAAAACAAAAAGCTTCAGCGAAGGAAGCAACTTTGAGAAGGTACCAGTAAGCATTAGACTGTGGAGGATGGGTAAGATATTACTGCAGAAGTAGCAATATGATGTGGCCAATTTTGGATTGATAAGAAGGGGAGTGTATTGAATAAAGTGAGGAAAATATACTGGAAGGGTTTGAGTTCAGCAAAATTGGCTGCAGAGGATTAGTATAGCTTCTTCGGTTGCTTAATTTTTGGTAGGCTTGATACTGGTGTCACTGCACAGAAGAAATTTAAGAAAACTGTGTTTGCTAGTCCCAGCACTTGGGAGACTGAAATAGGATAATTGTAAGTTTGGGACCAGCCTAGGCTAAAAGGCCAGTCTGGGCCAGTCTGAACTACACAGTGAGTCCCCGTCTCAAAAAAACAAAGATGTGAAGGAAGATGAATTGGGGATAAATGGATACTGGTAAGATTGCTGAGTTGTAATTACAAGCTTTTGTATGTGATAAGGGTTAGATGATTTATTTTTCCTTCTCTAAAGGAGAACTAATGATTCTTGCAAAGATACTAATTAGGAATTAACCTATCAATGGGGATGTGAAGTTGATTGTAAATATGACAAAGTAGGATCCCCTGTAACCCCTGGAAGTGTTGGCCAGGAATTGTTCATGTGGAATCATGAGCATCCTTAACGTAAGCCATCGTAAACCGAGAGGCTATAGAGGATGGAAGATGATACAGATCAAAGATGAGAGATACTGAAAATTACTAAAAAGATTCATTAATAGGAGTAAGCAAAGGACTGCTGTTTCAAAGGGGTACTACTGGTTGGAGATGAAAAGTTGGAGAGAATGAGAATACAAATTTTTGAGTAGAAAGTGAGGCTAGCAAATGTGCATTTTTTTGACTTGCTAATGGCTTTCAAAGATGAAATACCAGGATTAAGGTGGAATGGAAATAAAAGTTGGATACTGTTCACTTTTGCTTTGTGATACTTCTGGATAAGGAAATTGACAAAGTACAAATGAATAGTTACAGTTCAAATTCTCTGACTTATGCATTGCACAATTCAGGATTGAGGGGCAGGGTGTATTAATATTATAGAGATATAATGGATATAACACAGATATATCTATATTGAAGGACAACTTTTTGTTGTTGTTTCAGATGGTCTCACTATTATAGTTTAGGCTGTCTTTAAGTTAACTTTATAGTCCAGTCTGGCCTCCAACTTGGAGTTTCCTTCTGTGTTGGCCACCAAGTGCTGGGTTTATAGGCATGGGCCACCACATCTAGCTCCATTAAAAAAATATTTGCTGGAAGGAAGGAAGGAAGGATTCTTAAAGGATTCTGACTGCTTTGAGTGAGTAATACTTTTTTTTTTTTTGTCTTTTTAAGATGATTTCGCTATGCAGTTCAGACTGGCGTTGAACTCACTTTGTAGCCCAGGCTGGTTTCAAACTTAAGAGTAATCTTTCTGCTGCAGCCTTCCGAGTGCTGAGATTACATACATGCAATGCCCACCATGCCTGGCAAGTGGATAATAAATTGAACACTTACTGTGTTCAATTTTTGTTCAGGCAGGCTGTGCTAGGGTCTCAGTTGGAGCTGATACAGTCTAGCTCCATGGGATTTATGGGGACAAAAATTATACATACAAATATAAAGTTATAGGAAGAGCTGGGAAACAAAGAGGCAGATGGGCATGAGATAGTAGATGTTCTGGGACTTTCATTTCAAGGAATTGGTGTTAAACTTTCAGACATGAAGGAGGAGCCAGTCATGCAAAGTAGTAGGTAAAGGGAAGCATTAGAGGAAGGAATTGTGTTAATGCCTCGCAGTGAGAAAGAGCTTAGATTGTATGGGAGTTACAAATTGGAGGCTTTGTGGCTGGAACCTGGAAAATCTTAAGTACGGATGTAGGAAATCTACTTGGTGAAGGGCAGATCCTACATAGCCTTTTGGAGTTTTGAGTTTTGTAAATGTAGTGGGTTCCTGTTTTAGAGAAAGAATGACATGTAAAATCTGTAGGAGAGCCGTGTCATAGATTTCCTATTATGTAGTAGAATGAACTGCTAGGCAGGCATTATGCCACTGAGCTAAATCCCCGGCAGTAGAATGAACTGCTTTAGTGTATTTTAATTTTGTATTTGTGTTTGCTGTGCAACTATTTTGGGTTTTTCTCATTGGTTTTGTTCACCATATGTCTACTTTGGTAATGAGTGGCCTTTTAAATAGATTTCATCTAATTTTAAGAGACAAGGATTCAAATTCTAGAGATTCTATTGAGTTAGAGTAGTTTTGGGAAAACTAGGTCTATTTTTAGGGAGATGGATTTTTCATAGCACAAAGCCACCTCATGCTATCAAAGCAAACAGAAGTGTTAGTTGTTTTTTCCCCATCCTCATACTGAAGATTAAACCCAGGGCACTTATAGTGAGCTACGTCCCTAACTTTTACCATTTTTAAACACAGGATTTTGCTGAGTTGTCCAGGTTAAATTTGAGCTTCAGTTCTTAAAATCTATATTTGGGAAGATTGCTAAGCATTCTAAGGCCATTATGTGCTTCATAAGAGATCTGTATCTAAGAGGAGCCATGGACATTATTTTTAAAGCAGCTTTCACAGACTTTCTAGTGTACACAATCTTAAGAGTTACGATATTTCATTGCTTTTTCTTAAAAATGGAAATTTTGGCCACAAGAAAGTATTTCAGTAGTTATAATACATAATATGCATATATTTGGTACTAGGAATTGAACTTAGGACCTTGTACTTGCTTGGTAGGCACTGTGTGGCTGAGCTATGTCCCTTGCCCACAGACAGTTACAATAAATTTTAATCATTTTAAGAGCACTTAATTATAGTACATTGATTTAATATTAAATGAGGCCTTCATTTTTATTAGTGATGACTTAACTATTAAGATGTTTTTGGAAGAAAAAACAATGCTCTTACTATATTTCATAATATTTTTTAAAAGATAGGGTTAGGATGATTGTGGAATCTGCCAAGAGTCCAGAGCACAAGGTGCTAAAGATAATTAGTTTTGCAAGGTCTGAGCCTATCCAAACCTACTGTGCTTAGAGGGATGCTTCCAACAGCAGGAGTTGTACCATCTCGGCTGCTTCTCAAGTGTGCCAGCTCCAAGTGTTTGGAGCCTCAATGTGCCCTATTGGCCAGTCCAATAGCTGGAGACACCAGTGAGCTCTCCTTAGGGGGTGGTGCTACTATTCTGATGATTAACTGTGGTACAATGCAATCATACCTCCCTAAAGGTATCTCTCTGTCCATTCTAGGTTGAAAATCTGAATTTCTTTTTTTTTTTTCTTTTGGTGCTGGAGATTAAACCCATGACATTGTACTTGCCAGGCAGGCACTTGTGCACTGAGCTAAACCTGTAGCCCCTTTCCACTCTAGATTGCAAACAGATGTAAAGGGAGTCCAGATATCCCTGTAAAACCATTTTAAAATGAGATCTCATAGTTCTAGCACTCTGGGAGGCTGATGCAGGAGGATCACAAGTTTGAGCCTAGTCTGGACAATTTAGTGACTCGGAGATCCTGTCTCTAAGCAAAAAATAAAAATAAAATGAGGGGACCATGGAGGCAGAGGCAGAAGGATCACTGTGAGTTTGAGTCCAACCTGGGAAAGAGTGAGTTTAAGGCCAGCCTGAACTACATATACTCACAAGTTCATTGTAAATGTCCTTAATCTCCCACCCCCCCCCAAAAAAAGAAAAAAAAAAAAAAAAACTGGAGTCACACGGTAAGCCTCAGTCTTATATATATATGAAGGTTAGAGAAAAGAATAGCTCTCGGATCAACCAAGAACACTCCTCCAGCTCCTAGCAGAGGCTGGGCTTGGTGGTGCATACCTGTAATTCCAGCACTTGGGAGGCTGAGGCAGGAGGATCACTTGAGTTTTCAGACAGCCTGGGCTGTGAGTTCTGGGCTAAACTGAACTGCATAGTGAAATTTTTTATCTCAAAAAAAAACAAAAAAACAAAAAGGTATTTTCTACATATCAAATGCTTTAAAGACAGTTCCTACAGAGTGGGATGTTTTTGTTCACTGGTGTATCATCAAACACTAGAATTTTTTCAGATCTAAGATATCACAAATGCCTTCCCAAAACCAAATAGATCTAAAGTCCAACTGAAAGTAGGATGTTGTAGTTGTAACATAGGGTTTTTCCTCCTAGTATTGGGGATTGAATTCAGGGTCTCATATATATTGGAAAATGTATATGCTACCCCTGAGCCTTTTTATTTTTTTAAACAAGGTTTCACATGAACTCACCTTGTTGCTCAGGCTGGCCTCAAATTTGTGGCAGTCCTCTTTCCTCAGTCTACAGAATTCTGGGTAGAACCATTATCAAACTGTTTATCAATGGAGTGTGATTTCACATGTCTTTAATTTTCTATATGTGAGTTTTTTTGAAAACAAGAGTTTTAAATTATTTTGAAAGCTGTTTTCACTGTGAAAAGAAAAATGATCTTCCTGAGATGACATTTATAATGACCATGTGATAATAAAGACAGCCTGAAGAACTATATTGTAATTACTTAGTGTACCTCTTAAAGTTAAGAGTATTTGGTGCAGACAACCTTCTATCCTTTCCTTCAGAGTTAAGCAAAAAGGTCAGTTGTACTGCATTAGGTGACTTGATAATTTCTGGATAAAATGTTACTTTTTGAAAATGTTTGTTACTCAAATTTTTAATTTTGTTTTTAATTTTTTGTTTTTTAATCCAAGTGAAGGTATTTGAAGAGTGAAATTATGTGCTTTTTTTTAATTTTAATTTTTCGGTTTTGAAAGAGGATTCTTAGCCTTTACCACATTCTCAGGGAATCTTGAGATCAAGGAGTCAAAAATATTTTTTAGAAAAAATTATGCTTGTGTAGATGTATGTGCTATATTTTTCCTGCTAGTCTAGATATATGTGTGTGAAAATACATATTCTGACATCTGTTGTTTTTTCCTTATTGAAATATGGGAGTATAGTGATCTTTGTTCTACTTTGAATTATATCTCCCTACTACTGTCTCATCACTTTGTTTTTTTAATGTGTTGTAAGAATTGAATTTTAATCACTCAAGGGAAGAGATTGTTGGCCAGATCATCTTGTAAAACTGTTTTATTGAGCTAAAATGTTAATGGGTATGTAGTAATAGCTCATTGTGGTTTTACTTTGCATTACCTAAATGTCTTAATTCATTGTACATCTTTGATGTATTTTTGGCTGTTTTCTTATCTGTTGTGAAGAGTTTGTTCACCCCTTTCTGTCCTTTTTAAAATTCTTTGAAGCTGGGTAATTTTGATGTGTTGTAAAACTATATACTGTGTAAAAATCCTTTTTTTGAAATAAGTATGTTGAAAAAAAATTTTTAAGGAGAATTTTAGTCTTTTTAAAGTAAGCTAGTTTAGCTGGGCACCATGGTGCATTCTTGTAATCCCAGTACTTAGAAGGCTGAGGCAAGAGGATTGTGTTGCAAGTTCAAGGCCATCCTGGGCTGCAAAGTTGAGTTCAAGGCCAGTCTAAACTGCATAGCAAAACCCTGTCTCAAAAAGACCAAAAAAAAAAAAAAAAAAAGTTTCGATTCACATCAATTCATTGTTTTTTCTGGTTGCCTAATGCAGGGTCCTCTCCTTTGAGTGAATCTGCCACTTCTCGTTTCACGCCAAAGTGTAGCAGAAGTAATTTTATAGGTGTTTCCCCCATACCCCTTTTGATTGTTTATCCTGTGCAGTACATATTTTGTCTACCTCGTGGTTTTAGTTCTTGTGTTGAAGTCTATGATCGATGGAGGATTATTTCTCTTTAAGTTGTGAAATAAGGATTGAGATCCTCTCTCCATATAGATACCCATGTTAGACAGTTTCCTTTCCTTTGAGTTACTTTGGGTCTTTGTAAAGAATATGTTAAATATGTGCCTACTTGTAGTTTGCATTCTAATCCGTTGATCTATTATGTCTGTTTGTATTCCCATGCTCCCCCTTCCTCCCCTTTTAACTGTACTTAGTCTTGGAAAAGAGTTAGCAAATGCTTCATTGAGAAAGCCTTTTTCATCCATCCTAAAATCTGTGGTTTATGTTAAGTAGCAAAATGAAAGTTTTGAAAAATAATTTTTGTTTTCTACTGGGGATCAAACTCACGACTGCACACTTGCAAGGCAGACGCTTAGGCTGCTGAGCTAAATCCCCAGCCCCTGAAAAAATTTTTTTTGTGAATAGTTTTTAAGTTCTTAATTTGACTATGACTGAAGTATAGAAGATGTTATTTGAAATCAGTGTCAGAAGGGAAATTTTATGTTGCTACTGACTAGAACTCAAGATGGCTACATTCAGAGTGGTTGCTAAGGCAAAGTAGCTAGTTGAATCTGGATTCCTATTGAGTGTAGTTTGTACTGCAAGGTTTTGCTTATTAGTGATTTTTAAAATTGTTGTAAGAAAAACATACTGTGAAGGTTTTCAGAACCTTTCCATCTTAGAAAACGGTAAGCCTATACTGATTTAAAAACAAAAGAAAAACAAAAATTTCTCCCATTTCCCTAAGTCCTGTATATTTAGCATTTTACTTTTTACCTCTGTGAATTTGACTGCTGAGACATAGGTATTTCTTTTTCTTTTTTTTTTGGTACTGGGATCGAACTCAGGACCACGCACTTGCAAGGCAGGCAGGTGCTTATGCTGCTGAGCTAAATCCCCAGCCCCCGACATAGGTATTTCATGTAGGTTGGAATCAAGTAGTATTACCATTGTCTGATGACTGGTTTATTCACTTAGCACAGTGTGTTCAAGATCTGTCTCTGTTGTAGAATGGGACAGAATTTCCTTTTCTGATTAATACTCGATTATATTTGGATACCATACTTTGTTAATCCATTCATCTCTGGATGAACTTTTGGGTTTCTTCCTCATGGCTAATGTGAATAACATGGCTGTGGACATTGGTGTACAAATGCATGGTGTGATTGATTGACCAATATAGTGAATGTTCATGTTTTATAGAAATTTATTACAGGTAAAAAATCCACATTGCCATTAATTCCCCCCATTACTTCCCCTTGAGAGTGTCTTTAGTTGTACTGTTGTGGTTACCTCAGTGTTCTGAATTAATTCAGAATGTTTGTCTTTCATGGTCGTTTGACTTTGTGGATAAGCCAGAAGTCTCATAGTGCCAGATTTGGTGAATAAAGATGGATGAGGACATATTCTATTTTTTATGAACCTGCCTTTCCACTGACAGCACACTTGGCAGCTGCGTTTACCGTATTTTTTCATACCTCATAACAAAAGAGGACATTTAGAACTGCTTCAGAAAATGGCAAGAATGATGTGTCTTTGAAGTGGAAAGAGTGTTTTCAGGGGGACTAAAGGCAGTGTGTCTTTCACTGTAATAATTGTAACCATACATATATTAGGAGAACATGCTGTCAGTTCTTCTGGATATATGTTCAGCCATGCACTTCATAACATTTAAATTAGTGATGGACCACATATAGAATTGTGATTCCATAAGACACATTGCCTAGTGATAATGTAGCTGTCTTAGTTTATCTAAGTGCATTCTGATATTCACACAGTGACAGAGTTGTCTAATGATATATTTCTTCAAACATACTGGTCATTAAGTGACGTGTGGCTGTGTACTTTAAAGTGAAACTGCAAATTATATTACAATTTTATTTTTAATTTTTTAGAAATCTCTATGGTGGTTTTCCATAGGAACTGTACTGTTTTACTAATGATGCTTTTAAAATTTAAAAATCATTGGAAATGGGAGGTATGCTTTATTTCATTCTTTTGAGAATTTTTTCAACAGTGATATTCATTGGTTACAGTTTTGATATTAAGAAAAGTCATTTTCATCATTAAAAGTATAATTCCTTTGCAGCAAGTTTTTAATGTAAATATGGGCACTACTACCAAAACAGATATCACTGTTGAAAGGAATACCTCTTTTTATGTTTCTGGTTTTTCTGCAGATTGGAAAAATGAGATATGTCAGTGTTCGGGATTTTAAAGGGAAAGTTCTAATTGATATTAGAGAATATTGGATGGATCCAGAAGGTGAAATGAAACCAGGAAGAAAAGGTAAGGCTTCATTTCTTCAGTTTGGTTCTAAAGTTAAGGTTAAATTAAAACATTGCTAAGTAGTCTACCTTACTTAAAGTTGAAGTAAATGTTGGAAGGACAAAGATTCATATAACCGTTGTTGGTAGATGATTCTGTATAATTTCAGGCACATACTTAATGTTTTCCCAGTGAAGTGTCCTAAATTCACCTGTTAGGAATAAAACAAAACACAGAAAAATAACATTTTTAATACCTCTTTTAATTGGTTGCTAATTTATTTGCATATAATTTTAATATTACAACATTTGTCAAGTCAGGAATGGAAAAGTAGTTTATGGTGCCTCCCTTTTATTCAGTCCTAAGAGGTCTTTAGAACAGTATCCTTTGTTCAGTCTCTGCTCTGCTTCCATTTGTACTTCAGGTCCCAAGCCTGTTAGTGTGTAGGAGCGTATTTTAGTTACTAAATAGCTAGAGAATGTTTATTTGTTGAACCAATCTAAATTTATATTTTTAGATAGTTGCTCTAAGTTGATTTTGCTAATAAAAAGAAATGCTTCATTTAGTACTCCTTTGCCTGCCCCTGTCAGTTTTAAAAGTCCTACCTGTTTGCTTCAAGCAGTTTCAGGGTTTATTAAAGACATCTTCGGTATATTTTTGTACCTTTCATGTTTTCTTGTTGAAGTCACTTCTGGATTATTTGAGTTTTTTGAGAGTGACTAGTGACAGATTTTGTTTCCGAAAACATTTCTTGAAATAGTTTGATTAGCTTTAAAATGCTTCCTAAGTATTGTCTCCTTTTCAATTTCTAGGTATTCTTTTCAATTTCATGACCTTTTAGCAGTTTTTTGAGAAATGTTAGTTCAGTTATTTACTTATACTTTAGGAGATATGCTAAATTTTTTGTTCATTTGATCTTATTTAATAAAAGTATTTTACTGTTGAGAAAACTGAGGCTCTGAAGAAAATGTAACCTTTTTTTTTTTTTTTTTTAAACTTTTTTTTTTGTTTGTTTGGTGCTGCTGGAAATCAAACCCAGGGCCTTGTGTACGCAACGCAAAAGCTGTACCACTGAGTCACATCCCCAGCTCAATGTAATCTTTTTTTTAAGGCTACACAGTTAATGATGGTGAAGGCTGGTATTTGAACCAGCAGCATGGCTCCAGAATGTATGTTCGTACATACATACAATATTGATTCATTCTAGAAGTTCATTGTGAATCATGTCTCAGAGATTTTTTTTACAAAGTGAAATAAAGATGCTTTTGAAAGAGTTCAGCACAGTCATTAACCTAAATTCCTGTGGTGATTTGGGGCAAATGTTAGAACCAACTGGGATATAGTGAGGGTCACATGCCAAAAAAAAAAAATCTGGGTTGCCTATTTAGCCTGCAACTTGCAGGTGTATCTTCAAATCATCATTGGCTCTCATTGCAATATGGGAGTCACTGTGGGAAATTAGATTTAGTACTAGCTTGATCTGTTCGGGAAATCATAAATCTGTAATTAACAGTAGTGAGATTTGACTCTTCACTGTGCCATTGAAAAAATTTTAGAGCTGATGATGTGGCAAAGTAGATGCTCTGCATGCTTGAGGCCCCAAGTTTGATCCCCAGCACTGAAGAAAACCCCACAAAGAACAAAATGGCAATTTTTGTGAAGTATTTGTTGGAATTATGAATATCTTCAAGAGGTCTTGAATAGATTTTTTTATCTTTAAATTTTTAAATTTCGTTTTAGGTATTTCTTTAAATCCAGAGCAGTGGAGCCAGCTGAAGGAGCAGATTTCTGACATTGATGATGCAGTAAGAAAACTGTAGAATCTGAGCCATAAAGACCTGTACTGTTCTAGTTGTTTTACTGTCTTTTTACATTGGCTTTTGTTTTCTAAACGTTGTTTTCCAAGCTGTTGTATATTTGGATTGCAAAACAATTTGTAAGATGAATCCTTTTTTTTAATGTGCATTGTTAAAAATGTTCTGAGTGAAGCTGTCAACTTTATAAAGGAGGATTGCTTTGTGTCCACCGCCTAGTGTAAAATAAAATCAAGTAATACCAATCATTTTTAACTGTTGTGACCTTCTTTGATCAAAAACTAAGTACTGTTTAAGGCCCAAAGTTAACAATTTTATAGGCTTACTAATTTTAACTCAGCTTTTAAAGAGGATTTGTTGTTGCATTGAGGTTTTGATTTGTGAAATCTATCCTTGAGCTCTTCCCTTTCATCCAACTATGTAAATTTGACTTTCCACCTCAACATTTGACTTCCTTGTGTTTCTTTACTTCGTTTTCGTTTTGTAACAATATCTTCATGTTCACTTTTCATTTCATCTTAATATTCTTTTCCTTAAATATATTCTAATTTTGAAAGTTCAGTGAAACTATCAAAATATTATCTCAATAAAGTACATGCAATTAAATTGTGTAAGAACTACAGTCACTATTGTATTAAATATTATTAGCAGGTATAGTTTGATAGTATGTCTTGTATGAAAACTCTGAGCAGGTGTATATCATTATCCATAGTGTTTTGTGTAGTTATTGCTTAGTCCACGGAAAATAAGGACTTAGATGTCTGAATAGCTTTCACTTAGTAAACATGTTCACCATGGGATGATAAAATCAGATATTGTTAAACTAGACTAGGATTTAATAAACCTTGTGAAAGCTTACTGGCCTAACATTTTATTTTGTAACATTGAATATGGGTTATATTTAGCCAGAGATATTGCTGAGCTTTACTCTTGTAGTAGATAATGTTGGTAAGAGCATATATTTAGTTTTTTGGCCTTTGATTCAGTAGAGTTGGTTATTTTACAGCTCAGCTCCTGGACAGTGGCTTACTAGATTTGATATTGCTTCCGCTTATGTACTTTAAGTGGTTTTTGTTTTTACCATAATGATGAAACAAGTGGATTGAGGGACATAGTACAGGGGCTTTGCAGCAATAAATAGGGCATGGTGTGCCTTAGGAAAAGAATGTAAACTGAAATTAAGGAGGTGGTATGTGAAGAGGAAAGAATTTTTTTCAAACTAAATGATATACATAGGTTATTTTGAGATTTTGATCACACTAGTGGGACATAATTAGAGGTAGAAGAGTAAAAAAAGGTTTAAAGACACAAAAATTGACAAATCTCAATATTATGGTAGCAAATTTCAAATGATAACTGCCATTGAGGGATGTCATATCGGAGAATTGCACTACTCCATTACCAAGATTGATTCCTATGTTTAAAACATTTTGTAGTAGAATTGTCAAGAACTTCATTTTAAAATTAGCTACCAAGTCACATGTACTGATAACTACCTTTTTTTTTGTCCATTCCCGGTAGCTAATCTATTGTATTTTACATTATTTAGATGAATTTTTGTGTATTTTGTAGTAACCCAAATAGGTGCAAGTTGGTAAAATAGGAAATCTCTCTTCTTGTAGCTGATTCATCATCAGATTGTCAGTACTAGTGTTCAAAATACTGTACATGTTTAGACACATTGATACACCTCCCTTTATTTGAGAACATGTGTCCTGTTAATTGGATATTTTTGTGAAGTATTCCTTGTTTTTGGCACACAGAAAGGGTAGTTAGGACACAGAATTTTGATTTTGGTATAGATGAAGATGGATCTATTTCCTGGCTTTATATGAATTTTGAAAAGTATGCATTTTGAAATCTGCATATGCAGAGATGGTGCTGCAATTTATTACCTTGGGATTTACTGTTTAGTCTAATAAACTTCATATGAGGAGTGTTTCTGTAACAGTTCTGTAAAGTGACTCCTAAATTCATTGTATGTTACTAGATATACCAAAATTTTTAATCTTTGTGTTCTTACAAAGATGAAGAACTGGTTTCAAAGAAAGGAAACTAACATATACAGAGGGGGAAAAAAGCATAGAGTGCATTCATTTCTGTTTTAAACTTTATCTCCTTAGTAACATTTCTCTAGGAAGAAATTTAATTGGTGACAGGACTTTTTAATGGAATTTTTTCCTCTTTGTCTCTAAAGTATGAGCAGTATTTGACCAGTTTCCAGTATTCTTTTTATTTTATTCAAAGAACCACTGAAAAAGACTTCATAATTTGATTATTCTTGTTTGCTTTGATTTATAATGCCTAAAAACTTCATTTGAAGACTACTCCTACCTCATTATTATCTAGTCAAGATGCTGTGATCAATCTAATCAACATAATATGCATAGAATCAAAGATGAGGAAAAAATGAAAGTACATCCTGGCTTGTCTATTGAGGGGCAAAAAGTATTAATTATGGAAGTGTTCTGACATGTATTAGCTGAGTATTATAAAAGTCTGAAACTAAAAAACTGACTAATACTTGGGTATATTTCTTGAAATTCTTTGTGATTCACTTTTATGGAAATTAGTACAGTGTTAACACTTCTTTAAAAAGGTTTTCCCACATAAATTGTAGTGTAAACATGCACATAATCACAAATATGTAATTCTGTAATTGTGGAATGCTTATGTTTTGTTCAGTACATCTTCCATGGAGATGCCAATGAATATATTACTCCATCTGTGAATATTTTAAATGTTGAAATAAAAGTAAGAAATGTGCCCTTTGTGTTATCCCAGTTTCACAAATCTGAGGACAAATGGATAATTTATCTGTCGAGTGGGTTTTGTTAAATAGCATGGCTTTCTATTTGAATACTCTGGAGTCTGTAGTAACCTTTGGATATTAAGTCTTTCTGGGATGGGGTGGCATGGGCCTGTTTTTTCTCTTTCTGATCCAAATGGAAAAATCCAAATACCAAGGTGTACACCTCTTTTTTCATTTGTTCTGTTTTGCAATCTGATTCTTTGTATAATGCACTTTTTTGACTATTTCAAACTTGAATTTTCATTTATGAAGTATTTTGTCCTTATAAATCATTTTTGCTTAGTTATGTAAAAGGATCTCATTTAAATTACCATTTAGGAGCTTATACAGGTTAAAAAATGCATGGAAAAGTACTTAAGACTTTGGTTACAAGTTGTAATGCAACGTACAGATTCCAAAATTCAGTCAGAAGAGCAGAAAAAGTATTTCAAATTTATATAGTATGAATCAAAGAGGGTTACAGAAGGGATTTGAGAAGTACCAAATATGGAATTACTGTGTAACAGTATGACCATGTCCATCTGAGGAAAAGATGTTGCTACACAGAACTTAACCTTATTTGCTTTATATAGATTTTTTTTTTCCAGAGGTTAGACTTCATAGTCCTACTTTCATTGCCATTTTAGTTCTGGTGTAATAGTGACCTACTATTCAAAACTAAGTGAGATAAATACTTCTCTTGTTTCATTCTTAGGCTCCTGGTAGTTTAAATGTTTTATACTTATGCTTGATAACTTACTGTAGTTAGATGATGATTTATGCCATTTTTCTCTAGCTCATGAAAAATACTCTGAATTTCAACTAGTTGGATAATTAGACTCTCCCTTGTTTACAAAAAGATAAAAGTGCTTCTCTTACCAACCAAGCCTAGAACTCGGCTAAAGTGAGTGTAGTGTAGTGATTCATATATCATGGAAAGTAAAGTTCTAGTTTTACCCTTTTAGACAGATTATATTTTCAAAGTATGCAAGTTTGAGTGTTAGGACTTCTGAATTATCTGTACACTCAGAGATCTCATTCAAATTTTATCATTGTCTTACAGTAAAAGCTGTTAACCCAGGATCATGTATCTCACTAGATTCTGTTCTTCAGTCTCTTTCAGCCTGATGGCCTCTCAGTTTTTCTGTTTTATAGCCTTATCATTTCTGAAGGTTTGGTAAAATGAAAGCCATTATTAAGGCAAGGACCAGGAGAGCAGAGGACAGTTCAGTGAGGAGAACTTGTTTATGTAGGAAAAGATCAGAATGCCATGTGACTGCAAATGAATGTGTAATCGGCTGGGTGTGATTGAACAGTCCAGATACGAATGAGGTTGCAGAGTTGCCTTCCTACAGTATTTACAGTGGTAGCAGCCATGATTTTTGTCACTTTCCACATTTTTCTCCAGGTGACATTTTTCTGTTATCTAAAACGAGTACATTTAAACCCTGTTAAGGTTTGAGGAAAACTATTAGTAATTGAAAAAAATTTCAGAGGCACTATGGTTTTCTTTAGAATTCTTATTCTTACCTTTTGCTTGACCTACAACACCCCCCCCCCCAACATGGGGAACTGCTTCTTGCCCTCTGTAAAACCATTAATTGGCAGGCAGAGAAAGCTCTTAGAAACAGTTGAAATTGTTTTTAACATATCTCAGTCCTTTATCAGTAGTTTTTGAGTTTTTAGAGGATGTTGTAAAGAGATTCTCAAAGCGTTGTCCGCAACCCACTTCACTGGAAAGGGGCCTCTGGAAGAGTGATGTACAGGATTAAGTTTAAAAAATACTGACGGGATGAATTTCCAACCTTTTAACTCCAGTCATTTCTGGGGGTGGGGGACCAAGAATAGTGGTTAGGACTCCTTCCTTGTAAGCATTGAAAAGAGTTTGGATTAGACTCTGGTTTGGAAATTATTTTGTCTTAGGAAAGACAGGGCCAAGTTCATGTAAAAACATGTAAACTGCTCAGGGAGCGCCTGGTCTGTGGTAGATAAGGGTTAATCCCATTTTGGGGGTGCCAGGGTGGAAACCATAGTTGGTGGTAGGTTTGGGGTATTTGTTTTTCCATTTAATTTTCATCATTTCATAAAGAAGATTTTAGAGGTGGGGAAATTAGGGTTTTCAGACTTGCTCAAAGTGATACAGTGGCAGAGGCAAGATTTGAACTTCACCTTTGCTGAATCTTGAAACCCAAGGTTATGTTTACCTGTGTTCCTGTGGAATACACTTGGGGCAGTGGCACAATTCAAGGTTCACTGTTTAGCTGTGGACTTTTCTGAAGTAACTCTTACTTGAATTTTTTTTTGTCTGCCATCATAAACCAGGATTATCATGTGACCCAGTCTGTCTTGTTTCTTACAGTCCTTTCATTACTTTATGCAGCTGCAGAAAAGGCAGTTGACCACACTTTTGTCTCCAGCTAATCTGTGTTGGTTTGTACTTGTTTAGCTTTGTCT